AACGCGCAACATTCTACCTTTTTCTCAGTCTACATTCTGCTCCTGAGAAGTTGACATGAGTTGGTTCTGTCCCGTTTGCGAAAAATCGTTTAATACAAAGAGTAGCATGTAAAGGCATGCGATGTCTAAACACCGCAATGCTGGTCTCACCCCATTTCAAACAGTTCCGATGTCTTCATAGAAATGTCAGCGGTTTCGCTTTGAACATTCTTTCACCTCCATGACTGCTGGAATGACCAAGTCCGGAAAAGCGGCCTGGGTTCTATCTCTATTACATCAAGCTTCAGAGGCAATTTACCTTCCCCCAGAGAGGATCGTTTGGTGTTATTCACAATGGCAGCCTGCGTATACAGAGATGCTAGTCGCCGTGCCACACATTGAATTTATCAAGGGAATTCCTACGGCTTTGGAGCAGGATTTCTATTTTGATGTGAACAAACGGAATTTGATCGTGTTTGACGATCAGATGACTTATTTGGTGCTATTCAAGAATCCACGAGACAAATTGCAAATCTTGACTCTGGCAAAGCAAATGTATCCCGGGAAAACTGATTTCTTTTTAAATCAGTACAAGGAGGCTGTATAAAAAGACCTTTTGGTTATCTGCTGATTAATCTAAAAACTACTACCCAAGATAATTGCCCACTGCGAACAAACCTCCTGTCCAGTGAATAAGGCTTTAACCAAGCAGGGTATGAAGAAAATATACCTTAAGAGCTTTTAAAATACCTACAGCAGCAAAATCTTTCTCCCGTCCTGCTTCTTCCAGCTATGCAAGAAATACAGGGCAACATGGATGATGTGCTTTCTGGAAACAATCTTCGGGACGATGAAAAAGATAAGCGATACTTTCAGTTGCAAAACAGATATCTGGCTAAAATAAAGAGTTCTCAGCTCCACTTTCTGTGTGTGTGTTTTGTTTATATATCCGAATTTAAGCGCTTAAATTGTAATAGAAAATATAAGCCGTTTCTTGTGTTACTAGGTGATCTCTTCTCTTGTTCCTATTTTTGTAATAGGCGGTTCGAGCAAACTGGGCTCAAGTTACTTACCGGACAATTCTAGGTAAGGCTACTGTTCCTATTTTATAAGACAGACGCTCACTAGATATGGAGGAGGGCACTTACCAGTATGTAGGAACCCACTTTTTCTCTAGGTTAAAACAATGGGTGACGTCATGGACTCGACTCTTATGCATATCAATGATTTATCTGGACCTTACTCGACACTTACTCGAGGCTTAATTTCATCCCTCTATCACTACTCAACACACTACACTTTTTCAATCCAAACTCCAATCTAATGTCCTTACTAAGCAACTGTACAGTTTGCACCAACGAATCTATTTGATCTTTACTTTTCCGAAACAATTTTAAGTCGTTCACAAAAAAAGAAGATGGTTAATCTTAAATTCTCCGCAAGATCATAACCTGCTGTTGATTTTCTCAACACCAATGTGAATGGAATCGTGCACAAAACAAATAGCCCTCTGAAAAATGCCTCTCCTTCTAATTATAATGACTTCCAACCTCTCGCCTGATGATAATAACTCTACTTCCATGTCTGCATACCATTAATAAAAAAGCCTTTTCACATTGTCAGCTATTTCAAGCATCTCCAAACACTTGACAATCCAGCTATGCGGTATCATGTCATATACTACCCGGTAAACACTCAAAGCCAACGCCACAATGTGCCTTTTCTTGCAATTCTTTAGAATAGCTTTGTCAATTAACAAGTTGATTGTTTCTCTCAAATTGCCGTTTCTTGAAACTCTCAATAATTACCGAGTATGGTCTGAATAAATTCGGCGCCTAAAACTACTGTTTACTTTTAGAAGTGATATAGTATGTAAAAAGTATAAAAGCGTAGTTAGTACACGTTATAGGGGTTTGCTGGCAGGATTTTGCAAAGTAAACTGGTAGCGAACGCAAAAAATCCGGCCGGATTTTTCATTTTGGCCCTATTCCTTTAGACAGAGGGATAGTTCTCTGTAGCAACTACTACGCTTCAAAAGTGAACCACCTAAAGCAAACCAAGCCTAGCTAGTGGTGGAGTGCGGTCAAGTGGATCGCTGACATGGCTCTCGCTCCTGGCTCAGACCCTTTGTTTGCCAACTTATAGATCGAGGTTCCGCTCTTCTGTCTGACCAAGAGATTGCCAGCCAAACCAACTCAGGATTCCTACAACCTATGGTGTCCCTCCAAAGGCTTGAATTCCTCCCGTCACACAGTGAGGATTTGTCACTGCTGACCCTATCCGAACCCGCCGTTTTATCTGCTTTAAAAAGGCTTAACCCTATGAAGGCGGCAGGACTAGATGGGGTAGTATGGTGAAGGCGTACGCAGCCATCCTTGCTTGCCCAGTTAGCTGTGCAAAACAGCAGTTTCGCGGAGCAGAGATGGCCTTCATCCTGGAAGATGGTGCCTGTCCCCAAGCTAAAACCTGTTATCGACATCAACAAATATCTTCGTCCGATCTCCCCAACCTCCGTAAACTTGCACAGGACTTCGTCGCTCTCCATTTCGTTCCTGCTGTTCTGGAGGTGATTGATCCAAATCAGTATCAGCGTCCTCTACCCTACACGCCCTTACGTACATGCTACATGTACCTGGTTGCAGGCCACTGACGGGTCTGGGGCTGCTGTGAGAGTCGACCCGTTTGATTACAGGAAGGCCTTCGAGATCAGCGACCACACCCTATTTGTGCGCAAAGTTTTCGGCCTATCTTTTCCTGAGCTGTTGCCCTCCGGGTGGCCGACTTCTTAACTCATAGACAACAACGAGTAAAGTTGTCTAGAGACTGTTTTTATGAATGGGGCCCTGTGCCCGCTGGTGTGCCTCAAGGAACCAAACTAGGCCCATCGTTATTCCTCAGGGGTTTTCAGTGTGGACACATAGAAGCACATTTTGTACGTTGACGATACTTACAGAGAGATTAAGCATCGCGTTTATGGCAAACGGCAAACGTAAGCAAGTTTCCCCCTCACTAATCGTTTTCTGTTCATTATAACTACACGAAAATCGGTAAATTCAGGCCAATTTTATCCATAAGAATTGTTTTAAGCTGCTTTTATCTGCTCATTTCTCATTTTAAAAATTTCTCAACTTGAAACTCAAGTTTACCGTTTGCCGTAAACGCGATGCTTAATCTCTCTGCTATTGATGAGTTAGTCCCGCGAGGTGCACAGGGTGATATTCGAAGCGCAGTTAGTGCCGTCGAGGACTGGTCACGTGAGCAATGCATGCAACTAAACGCTCACAAATGCAACGAGATGATCATCTACTTTAAAGATAGTGCTTTGTAGATAGTGCCAAAATTTTAGGTATAACTTAACACTGTCTAACGATCTCAAGTGGAACGTTTATACAAATGGAGCTATTAAGGAAGCAAATAAGCGTTTGTACTTTTTTGGTTATGCTAAATAGAGCTGGCATGAGCTGTAACTGTACAGTAATAAAACCCGTACTAGAATATTGCTCGCCCATTTTCCACCATAGCCTACCCGACTATCTTAGTAAGCGTGTACCAAAAAGAGCGCTGTCCATAGTGCTGAGTTCTAAAGTGATGAGGTCATAAGAATTAAATTTGTGAAATTATGGGATTTGTCAAGATATTCTGAAAGGACAACGTCCAAGACACCTACTTGCCAAAAATTAGTATTTCGGAGCAAATTGTCTCTGAGATGTATTGGCCCAGTTATGCTCTAATGACCTCATACAAATCCTTCTAAATTTCACTTGTGTCTAAACGTTTGGACCTAAGTCAAATTTAGGTGGGTTTGTATGGAGTCATCAGAGCATAACTGGGCAAATATTTCAGAGACAATTTGCCCCACAATGCTAGTTTTTTGGCAAGTAGGCCTCTTGGATGTTGTTCTTTCACAATATCCTGACAAATCCCATAATTTCACAAATTCAATGTTTTATGACGGCACACTTTAAAACACTATAGCGCCTGATAAATCATACAAACGCTGATTAGTCAGTTTTGGTCTCAGCACTTTATATGATAAGCGAAACCATCAGTGTATTAATTAACCTTTTTAATGGAATGTCCTCGGATCCTAATTTCTTCGAACCACCAAGGCTCCTACAATACCAGGCATGAGAGATCGAGTTAACGACTTGCCCCGCTTTCGCACAAACCGCTTAAAAAAGTCATTCATACCAGCCATGTGCGGTAGTACAAACATGTTATTATAATGTCAGTTTATGTGTTATTACGTTATCAGAAAATTGTAATTAGTCTTTTACCATTATTTTATACCTTGAAACGATTACGCAATTCAGCCTACCGGCTGCAATTTGATCGATTATTTTGTTAAACCCACCTATTTATCTATCTCTACTGGAAGAAGTAACGCCTTCAGTGAATTGATCAGATGTAACTTCGATGGAGCTGGATTGGGTCACCGCAGACCTGGAGATAACATCCTTTTCGCTCTACATAATTCTTCACAACCCACTTAGCCTCATTCAGTAATTGCTAATTATGGCAACGATCACTTTGTCGATGAGGCTAGACTTCAAACTCTTATTTGTGCGTTTGGAAATGTCTCTTATGGATTGTACTGACTGAAACGCGTGAACTCGAAACAAAATGATACTGAAAGGCGATCAAAATGATATTGAAAGGCGATCAATATTTCAATATTTATTCATTTTCCGAGTTCCAAAAACCCTCATTTTCAAAACAAGGTCTTCCTAACACCTTTCTCTTTTCAAATTAATTTCCTTATTTCAAAGGCTTTGCGCTTCGCCTCGTTTTAAGACAGCAGCTACTGTGAAGTCGAAAATGGCTTATTAGAATTACAGTAATATATACCTGCCTTATTATATGGCATAATATAAATGCTCTATATATGATAATAAAGGGAATTATAGAAATTAACGCGACTTAAATTAAGGCGAATTTAGTGAAAAACCACTTTGGAACTGAGGAAATTGATTTGAAAGAGACGTGGCTACGAAATATCTGAGTATTTCAATCAAGGGATTTTAAGTGTTACCTGTACATTTATCTTCTCCATTTTCAGAATAACCTTCCTTGCAAGCACACCCGAAGGATCCTATAGTGTTATAGCACACTGAACTACTGACGTCACAGCTGTGTTTTCCTGTGTTACACTCGTTTATGTCTGGAAATCAAGAGTTAATGATGAATTATCAAACTGAATCAGTTCTATTTCAGTTTTATATCTATTGAATGAGAGATAGCAATGCAATGCTTTCGAGACTGGTAGTCCACGAATGAATAAATCAGTTTTTAAAATTAGGCGATTACACGGGACACTAATTCAATTGATGGCACTTGATGGTCTCGTTATGTCAAAGATAGATCCCAAGTTTTTTCTGTTTCTAAGCCTTTGAGCTCGGTGTTTCCTGTCCCAGACATATGTTGGTCACACTTTTTGTTTCCCCAGCCTAACTGGCTCTAAGCCTGTGTGCTTTATTGGGGATACGGCTCGAGCTCGACCAGTTAAGTTGTCGCAGTTATTATTATTAGCTTTTGTTAACGCAAGAATACAAATGTTGCCTTTTTGCTGTATTAACATACGTACATTGCAGCGTTGGCTTTAAATATACTTTTTTGGCGGTTAAAATTATTTCCGTTGTTATTAATTTCTGTGGGAAAAATTGGAGGCCACAACTTTACACGTACCAAGGCCAAAACCCTTTTCGTAGATACAACCTGTGACATACCACTGACTGAATATGAAAACTGGTTTCTACCTTTCCATTTGGCTGTACTATTTTTGGCATGGAATAGCATATGACTTAACATAAATTCCTGTTCGTTTCAGCTCCATATTATGTTACCTGCACAGTTGTTGACGCCATCCCCAGTATATCCTGCTTTGCAAGTACACGTGAAGGAATGCTTGGTGTTGGTGCAGTATGCATCACTGTGGCAGTTATGTAGTCCTGTTTTACACTCGTCTACAAATCAGCAAGTAAAAGTTAGTTATAAGAATTTCCTTGACTTAAACGTCTCTCCTGTAAGCACAAACAACTGATATCATGATCTCTTGTTTAAAATTCAGTGAGAAAACGTTGGTATCAATACTCCAAACAAAAAAATATTGCATTTAAAGGCCTGTTATCGTATGGTGTTGCTGGTCTATGTGGTTGGTATACAAGTGAAATTTGACCTTTGGTAATCAGTATTTCGGGGATACGAGAAAAGATTTGAACTGTTTTTGAGAGAGCATTTGTCTCGCATGCGCACGCATAACAAGCAGAAAAAAAAACACTGTTCACGAGAACAGTTTTTTCAACTAGAACGGTATAAAGGAATCCATAAAGTCATGATTTGAGGAAGGATTTCTCAGGGGGTGAGGGTGAAGTCCGTTTTGCATTTCGCGTTCGATTGCCAAATCTAAAACCCGCACTTTAAACTCAAATCCGGATTTCCCATGAAATCAAACGCACCCTAAGTTTCAATTGTCACCATGAACTGAAAAAGCTTGATCGAATTGAAAGGGGTTAATAACTTGAGAGAAAGGCTTTGAATTTACCCACTTCTCACAAAATGGCTCATGGACTAGAAATCGTTTATCTAAATTGGTTCCATTAAATTCCAAGTCGTAAAAGTTTGTGCGTTTTTAGAAAAAAAAAACTACCATAAACGTTTTCAGGAGTTTCTCGTTTGCTCTTTTATTCTATAGATATCTAGTCCAACTTATAGCCTTTCACCTCACGGAATTGGGGCTATTTAGCTTCCCGGAATAGGAGAAATTCAAGTGGCGAATAGCGAAATTGGCAATGGATTTTTGCCCAAAATGTTTGTCTAAATCTCTCACAAGATTAGTCAGGATTTTCATAGTAAGGTAGCAGTGCTCCAAGTTTTTTTAACCTCCGCCCTCTGGTTAGCTCAGTCGGGAGAGTGCCTGTCTGCTGAGCGGGAGGTTGCGGGTTCAAACCCCGGCCGGGCCAACACTCAGGTTCTTTAAATAACTGAGAAGAAAGTGCTGCCTTCGTAACGACATCTGAAAACGGTTAGACTTTGTAATCTTCTCGGATAAGGAATAAAAAACGTAGGTCCGGCAGGACTTATCTGGTACTTGTGCGACCTAAAAGAACCCACACCACCGTATACTGGAAAGAGTATTGGACGTAAACCTCGGTGGTATGGCCAACCTTTTCTGGGCTGGGTGGGTTATTTCCCTCAGAAGTCAAAATGGCTACCTATAGATAGTGTATGTATAGCTTCCTGGATTTGCTGCTTAACAACTAAATGGGAAACTAAGGGCCTGTTTACATGGAGTGGAGGACCCCGGTCTAGTGGGTATGGTTTCTTTTGTTTTCACGCTCTGGGGGACACAAAACAAAAGAAACCTACCCCACTAAACCGGGGTCCCCCACTCCATGTAAACAGGGTCTAAAAGGGTAAGTGGCTTTAGAAATGCAAACTCTGCATTGTTCCATTAACACTCCCAATTGTCCCAAAGGGTTAAACTATTCAAAAGGGCGTGCAATTCGCGCGGAAGGACTTTCTCATCCAAGGTTTTTAATATTGTTATTTATTTTCATTTTTTAACTTACCTGAGCACGTCATTTCAATTTCTCTGGCGATTTCTTCCATTAGTTCTCTGTTTCTTTCCCGCTCTTTAATAAACTCCTCTTCTTCTTTATTCATCGGAACGGGACAAACTGGAAAGCAGCAACACATATGAACAAAAAATTTCAATGTGTAAGCTAACGGCATTTTATCAACTTTGCAAAACAATAATAAATATAACAATTATTATAATTGTAATAAATAATAAAATAATAGAAAATGACGATAAAATAATAACAATAAGAATATTTAATAATTTTAACGATAACGATAATGATAATGATAATGACAATGACGATAATAATAAAATAATAATAATAATATTATTATTAGAGCATAGTTACAGTCAAATGACTGGACAATGACAGGGGCCAACACCAGAGGATTGTCCGTCTAAAGAGGTGTTTGTTAAGAGAGAGCTGACTGTACAGCAAATTTCTTTGAAATCCATTAGAAAAAAACAATAGCGCAAAGCAATTCATGAACGGACACTGAACGAAAGAAATCTTGCCAAATGTTGATCGCGCATTTTTGAAGTGTAAAATTAAAAAAATAATAATAAAACAAATATAATACTATTATATTTGTTTTATTAGAAGTTGTTAACATATTCACCATTTTTACATCGACCGTAAAACATCTTGTTTACCCCCCAAAAATTTTGCATCAGTAAATTGTCTTCAATTTCTCTTATGATGACTGCTTATACTTACAGGAAAAATTGAAAACAATTCTCATGCAAATTTTATGGACGACGTAAAAATTGTGGTGAATAAATCCTCGAAATGGTGTTTTAGGTAAAGTGTAAAAATTAAAATTTTAAGCGGCTTTCTGTACATGAAGCAGAGTAGACAGGACGCTGAAATATAATGGAAACAATTCGCAGGTGCGCAATTAAATTTGTTAGTGACGTCGTAGTGGTTAGTTGTTACCTCCATGATTTACATCTTCCTCTGTTATCATCGCGACTGGGAACATGGTAACGAAAATAATGATTAATGTTTTCATGCCTGCCATCTTCCAATCTGTTGAAAACAAAATAATCATGGTTCATAGAATGTCACTGAATTTATTTCGTGGGTGTTAAAGAGTTAGGCACGCAAAGTTTAATAACCACGAGTTAGCGGGAGGGGAGAGGAGGGGAGGAAAGAAAGGAGGTACCCTAGAAAATAGGCTTTGATAGACTGTGCTCGCAAAAGTAGCATGATATGCTACTTGCAGTGCTCGTATATTTCTAAAATTATGCCAATAATTCTGCTAGTTTTTGTAAATTAAGCTCGTTTTAGCAAACAAAATGCAGAAATTATGCTTCTCACTTTTTACTTTAGATTTGTTAAAAAAAAAACACCTCAATGCTTCATGTACAATTAAATGGCAAACTCATTTACCCTGTTTACACCAAGAAACTTTAAGAGTCCTTAATTCATTCTCTGACAAGTACGAAAACTCAACCAATAATCAACCAACGCGCGGACGCCACCCCAGGTAACCGAGCCTGTTAGGTCAATACGTTGAGTCTTGTGGAGAGAGTCCTGAGTCACTTCCTGTTTGACCCAGGTCCCATGAATGTGACAATAAACAGACAAATAAATGAATTCGTTACTTAGATTTCCCTGTAAAACAGCTCTCGGACCAAAAACACTGGTTGCATGTTCAATAAATGACAATTTTTACACTGCAAAATTATACCAAAACGTGCAAATTATGCTAGCGGTGCTTTCTTTCGAAAAACAGGTGAAAATTATGCTCGTAGTGACTAATTGTGCCAAAAATTTGGTAGTCTAATCTATCAAAACCTACCGGAAAATGGCGGTGATGCCACGATTCATAATTCCTTAAATCCTTTACCTTATCTCCCATATGTGCATTACCCTGGTCAGGGTAAAAACTGGGGATAAAAACTCTCTCCTATTTGCAGACAATAACGTTAATTATCTATGCAGCTAATCTACATAATTATATGATCCTATCAGTAACTTCTATAGAGGAGTTCACCCGGAGACGGAGACAGATTATTATAAGGAAGTACCCCAGGGAATTATATAGTCCGTTCGCAGATCACCCTGGTGTTTATTTGATCAAACAAAGTCAATTTTAAAAAGTCTGTTCAAGCTTTCTGTGAGACGGCGGAGACCGGGAGTTAGAACAAAAAAAAATAGAAACATAGAAGCCAATTAAGCTGCAGTCTTAAAAATACTTCTTTACACTATATCTTTCAAGACGTTTTTTTTTTTATTTTTGCATTTTTGTAAGTCGTGAATACCACATAAAATAATGAATATATTTTCCGAGAAAACATGGATAAAATGAAATTTAAACTTGTTCTATGACACGGTTGTTTTACTGGAAAAAATAACTTCTTTCCCTTCAAAACAATGCATTTTTTTTTTCAGAGAAAGATCCGACCAGTATTTTGCTCAGTTGTTTAAGTTTGATTCTAGTTCAAGTTTCAGAAATATTTCTATCAATAAAAAAAATAGAATTTTTTATTACATAAAATATATCGTCGTTTTGGGGAGAAAATAATTGTAATATAGATCAATAAAAAAAATAGAGTAAATAAGTAAAGAATGGACCGGTCGAAACCCACCAGAGAATAGAGAAACTTATGGCCATCAAGGTTAACATAAATACTAGTTATGAATTATCTACATCATGGGTCCGAGTATGTGTTCACAAAAAAAACAAGTGTCTCGTTAGGCGAAGGGAAAGTCTGTTAAGCTTGCGTCTTGTCGCCATGATAAGTCCGTCCTTCTGTGTCCAGTAGTGTCCATGCAACACCTGATATTTTTCGTTCTTTTTTATTTATATAGCAAATGTCACTGATGGAGAAAATTTTTGCATTTTTCCGCCGGTCAAGAGTTGTAAAAAACATCACTTTCCAGTGAACGTAATCCAATCACTCTAGCTGAAATCATTATTAAAACCGTGCAACACGGTAGAGTAGAAATAGGACATTTTTTTTCTGAATGGACAAGGTCATTGATATAACGAAGTGCTTCTATGAACCAGCGTGGCGTGAGCGATGAACATGCTAACCGCTGTAAAAGGAAGTCAAGTTCGTGTATGCGACGACTGTCAAAATACAAACAGAGGCTGTCCATGCATTGACGTGAAACATAAAGTAAAAGACTTTTATTGAATTAATAAAAAATACAAAATGAAGAAATACTGAAATGAAAAACAATGTTAAATGTTTCTTTTCAGACGACATCTACTATTTGTAGATTGAATATCTTCAGAACTTGGCGAGAAATACGCAGTTGAAGACGGGAACTTAACATCGATTAAGGTAACGGTAAGCATGTTTTAGCTATCTTTTTAAACTAGAAATTATTTTGAATAAATAATAAAACAATGATTGGATACGGATAGATCTTTCAACCGCTGAACTAAGGAAGGGAGGAAGGATGGAAGGAAAGAGGCATTCGTGGATGAGAGGACAACAGACGCGGTGCCCTCTTTACAATATATATTGTATGTATATAACACATGAATATTTTACATACACTGAAAGTGATGCCGAAATAAACAGGAATATTGCACTCACGCTGGTCATGATTAAAGTAAGAATATCACTGAAATAGCTAAGAAATAATGTACTAGGAAAGATCACCTCTCGCTTCCATATCATTCTTGTTATTTAAAAGTTTTATTTTCGTACCTCAGATTTTCCAGCTCTTCTGATCAGTTGTATGTCTCCTAACTTTTGGCGGCTAAAAGAGTTCTGACTGCTGTTCGCTTCTTCAATTGTCTGAGTTGTTTGCCTGTGAAGATCCAAATACGCCCAGCAATCAAAACTCAAACAAGATTTAACGCAGGATATGTTTTGAGATATTTTCAGGAGGACCCTTCTCCCCCCAAAAAATCAAAAGACAGTTTTTTGTCACCTGAGGTGCCGGCTTATCGAGCTGACAAATAAAAATGTTTGACAAAAAACAGCAGGCATGATCTCATTTTTATTACTGACGTTAGCTGGCCATTTCAAAACGCCATCGATCGTTTTGTAATTAATGCTTCATTTTTCCGGTCTTGCCCTAATGGGCATAAATTGACAAATTCCGCCATCTGGTCGCAAAGAGACAAATGCATTTTGTTTTTACAAATATAGTTTATTAACCATATGATTGATGTGTCATGGTCATTTTAAGGAAGAAGTGATACAGAGATGAATTTACTTTTCTTTCTTTCGTAATTTTTAATTCCTTCTGTGGTAACGACAAGTTTCTATTATTACTTAAAATAGTTGTAGGAAACTTAGATTATGCAAGGAATCCTAGGCAAGTTCCGCCTTTGGAGCTGCCGCATATAGTCTATAAGATAACTAACTGGACTGTTTAAATCCTTCAGACTCAAATTTAAGGACATCTAAGGGCAAACAGAAATCTAGAAGTTCGAGGTCCGACGAAAACAGCTAAAAACTCACTCGTTTATCCAGTAGTAAAAAAGATGGAGATCTTCGCTTTCAGGATAAGTTAAACTGTAGCCTGCGTAGCAAGCGTTTCCGTACGGTTTAGGAGAAAAGAACGAGGAACGAGAGTCAAAGACCGCGAGAAAAGTGGCGCAAGTAAAAGAGCGGGGAGGGGGTGGGGAAGATAGGAAGGAAACGCTTGCAGATAAACACCGGGATTTTGAAAACCACCCACTTGGTCTGTCACGCCTGAGTTCACGAACCGACATTTGATGCTGTCATCAACTGTCATAATTGACCAATAAAATGTTTGGCCGTCCGTGGAGCGGAAATGAACTTTAGAGGGCGCGTTTGTGAAACTAAAGTAATTTTTTTTTTATATTTTGGAGTGCTTGGACGGCGTTAATGGTGAAATCTCAATGAATCCGAACGATCAATGCAGGCTTTGTACATTTGTCTTCTTAATCCGTCTAAAAGGAAGGACCGCGAGGGTGAATGAAGTTTTAAAGTTTTAGCTCTAAACCTCCAGAAAGTTGGGTTTGAAGTGGTAAAATGCGACAAGCATTCAAGTCTAGATCAGCTAGACAGAACGGCTTACCGTTCTCGCCACGGCACAGAAAACTAGAGTGCTCTTGTAAAACCATCCTGGAACAAAGCTAACCCGGCAACTGAAAGTTCGCGTGCAGAACCAAGCAGAAATTTTGATTGAGTCACAATGCAGGTCTCCACGGACGGCCAAACATTTTATTGGTCAATTATGACAGTTGATGACAGCATCAAATGTCGGTTCGTGAACTCAGGCGTGACAGACCAAGTGGGTGGTTTTCAAAATCCCGGGGTTTGTCTGCAAGCGTTTCCTTCCTATCTTCCCCACCCCCTCCCCGCTCTTTTACTTGCGCCACTTTTCTCGCGGTCTTTGACTCTCGTTCCTCGTTCTTTTCTCCTAAACCGTACAGAAACGCTTGCTACGCAGGCTAAGGGGTTTGTCTGCAAGCGTTTCCTTCCTTCCCCTCCCCCTCCCCCCTCTTTCACTTTTTGGTTCTCGTTTCATTTCTCGCGCGGTCAAAACCGAAAGTCCCCTTCCTCTGTATTTCTTTGCCCCGAAACGGCAAACGGAAACGCTTGCTACGCAGGCTAGTTAAACTGTGTAATAATTACCCCTGTCACAGAAACATTTTATTGAGGAGATATGATAATCACTCACTCGATAAACTCTGAGCTTGGAAGCAACACCCTTGGGTCTGTCTTCAGGGCTTATAAACTTCCAAGTATATCCATATGAAAAAAAGTAAGAAGCCTCAGATTCATTAATAAAGAGTTATATAGACTTATACAGTCGCAAACTTCCGAGGGAGTCGTCTGAAAGCAGCTGGGCGCTCACACTGTTCAGTGATGTCACAATCCAAAAACCGGAAGTGATTTTGATTGGATGATTGTCAAAACATTCGTATAAATTGTACGAGTTATTATTAGAAATTTAGCAGGACTGTAGTTTGATATTCAGCGGATCGCATGCTTGCGTGGAGTGAGTGTGGATTGCAAATTTTTTGTCAATTTTAGTGGAATTGTATTCATTTGGAGCGATTTTATCAAACTGTAAGCCTAAAATAAAACGTTCAATTCCATCGCTAAAAGTTTTTGTTTGACTTCTTTTCTTCGTCAGATGCGAATCAATCAATCGTTCGATGGTATATAAAGAATATGTGTTCTGTTTGACTTCATTAAACACATATCTTTGTACATCTTTTTAATTCAGTGACCTCATGGTAGGGAAAAATACACTTAAATTGTGAAAAAAATATAGTGAAGGCTTTTAAACGTGACCTCACAACCTGCAAACTCCAATTCGTGTTGCGACTTCGCTTACTTAACAACTCGAACCTAACTACTCACAATGCTAATTCACTGGTGACCAGTGACTCGCCTTGGCATAAAAGTAGAAACAAAATACTAACTACAGTACACAGCGTTATTTGGCCTTACGAAGTCAACTCGCAATTTCCACCACCAACTTTAACACAAAACCCATCGGCGACTTTAATAAAGACTTAAAATCCAACTCATAAATCCAGCATATCTACAACTCGCTAGTTTGGGTATTAAGCATTTCTGGGGGAAAGGGGTAGAGTGAAGCGAAAAGGTACTTTAACTGTTTGTTTTCCGTAACAGATATATATATGTGCACATATGGCGCAGTGGTGTCGATAACGCCGTTCATGATCAAAGTATAAAGATAATCGAAATATTGTAAGTAAAAAACATCTCTATCTTTCATTTATGGTAAAGCGTTTTATACTTTACGTACCTCAGTTTTCAGCTGTTTTGATCCGCTTTATTTACCAAATTTTTGGTTAATAAGAAGCTTCTGACGATCAATGAGGATGTTTTATATCTGAACAATGTTGCTTAATGACGCAAATACGTACAACAATTTTAACTCAAAGGTAACGTTCAACGTGTAGGATATGTTTCAATGCGTTTTTAGGAAGATCCCAAATTAGAGCAATTAAAAGTAAAATTGTTAAGACAACTGTTTGTCAGAACAGTGGCGCCAGTTTATTGCTTATTGATAAAAATGTTTGACCAACTGAAAAACAGCAGGCATGAGCTCATTTTTATTGCTGACGTTTGCTGGCTATTTCAGAACGCCGTCATATTTATTTCCGGTCTTATCCAAGCTGGGTCTTATCCTAATGGGCATAAATGAAACAAATTTCTTCATCTGGTCGCAAAGAGACAAATGCATTTTGTTTTAACCTTCGAACGTACAAGTGTGTGTGTGTGGGGGGGTGCCTCCTCCGATCCCTCTGAGGTTTTTTTTAGTTGAGGTTTTTCCTAGACGATAAAACATCAGCACCTGACGTTTTCAATAGCTTTTCTTTTTTCCCTCGCAAGCATTTGAGAGAGGTTTAGTGATGGTCAGTTACTATAGATACGAGATATGATGTCATAAGTAGCAGATGGTCAAGCCATTTTTGGGTGAAAATGCATGTTCTTTCAACTTCTCTCAACAATAACAGTAAAGATGTGGATAAAATGATGAAAAGTGGTTATCTATGTGTTATTTTATATGTCAAGCACAAAAAAATACCACTTCTTAGGGTTTTAACCTGATTTTTAATACTTGGTAAAATCTAAGATGATGGCCAAGATGGCGACCGTTATTGGTGACGTCACAGGCCTCTAGTACCGCTACCACTTATAAAATACAACTCATCTTGATCAAAGGCTTTCCACTTAAGGCAAAATCGTTTCGAAATACTGCAAAATATCAAAAACTCTAGGGAGGGGTCCCATCGATCCCCCTCCCTTGTACTACGGTGGGGGTATGAATTTGCGTACATGTCCGAGGGTAAACAAATATAAGTTATTAACTCTATGATTGATGTGTCTTGGTTATTTAAACGGCGACCCGATACAGAAATAAATTTACAGTACTTTACTACAGTCTATACAAGATGGCTAATAGGACTATATAAATCCTTCAGACTGAAAATTTAAAGACATATAAGGGCAAATAGAAATCTAGAAATTCGAGTTCCGACAAAAGCAGCCACAAACTCACTCGTTGACCCAATCGACCTCACATTGCAAGTTGTGGCAGCAACTCAGTGAATTATTGCGCTGCAAAGTTGATTGATAATATTGTAAACTAATGCCAGCATCAGTTCTTTAAGCCAGTTAGTCGAAGAGTCCAGCAACGAAGATGAGGATCCTCGCTTTCCGGATAAGGCAAGATGTATGATATGTACCCGTTTCACCACCAAAACATTTTATTGAGGCCACATTTCCCCAACTATTTTATTAATTTTTGTTTCATTAAAATGGTTGAAATGGTTGAAAGAGTTGCGTAATGCTACCTTGTGGCTCTCCGCAATTTTTTTCGCAATTTCGGCAAACAAAAATTAAAAGAACGGTCATAAATGTATAGAAAAGAAAGCAAATATAGCAAAAAAAACAAATTCAATAAGGATTGCAAACTGTAGCAAAACTTTCCTCACAATTTTTTGTCACAATTTTAGCAAACATATGTTTAATAGAACAACAATCAACAAACGCTAAAAAATATCGTAAGAATATTAAAGAAGAATTATAACAAATTTAGCAATAATTCAGACTTATAAAAAGGAAAGGCAAGGAAGGTCTTCTGGAAACCTGCAAATTTGGCAAAAATCGCAAAAGTAACAATTTTATTTTATTCAGCAGCATCAACAACAATAAAACACGCTAACAAATATCGCAAGAATAACAGGAATGAATAAAGCAAAAGTTAAGACTTATAAAGGAGAATGGCAAAGAACGCCCTCTAACCCTTGCACCAAAAGTCTGGTTAAAAGCCTGGTGAGCCTGGTAAACCCTGGTTGAACCAGACTTACCAGGCTTTTGACAATTATCAACTAAAATTGAAAGCCTGGTTGAGCCTGGTTTTGCCAGGCTTTCATGGTAAGCCTGGTTATTATTTACCATGAAAGTCTGGTAACTCAGGTCTCTACTTAAAAAT